TGAACCAATAATAATTAGGACATAAGTTACGCTTCAAGTACATTCTATTTAGACTGGGTAAATCTATTTACTGGGATAATTTTCAAAATTTATTTTTCATTTTCTTTTTTTCGTTATTTTTGTTGATAACTATTTTTTCTGTTTTTTTAAAATAATTTTTCATTAATTATTACACTGAAAAAAAAATTTATTTGATTCAAATACTTCAAATTATTTGAAAAATATTTAATTGGTTCAAATACTTTTTATTTGGATCAATAAAATATGTATTTCATTCAAGTAATTTGAATTATTTGAATCGCATTTATTTGAACCAAATAAATCGTATTTGGTTCAATTAAATAATTAATTGAATTAAATAAATGAATTTATTTATTTCACTCAAATATTTCATTTTTTTGATACAAATAAAAAGTATTTGATACAATAAATTTATTAATTCTAATTAATTAAATTATTTAATATAAATAATGCGTTATTTAATGGTTAATACACTATTTTATTAAAGGAAAATAAAATATTTTGACCAATTAAATATTTAAGTGTAATGAGAATAATGAGTTATTTGCGATACTATTCATTTATTTATATATAAATTATTTAATATTCTAAGTCCAAAAGTCAAATATTTTTTCATCAACAAAAAATTAATGTTTACAATAATTCAGAACAACGAAATACGCGTTTTTAATAAAAATATATTTACACTTTTTTTAAAAATTCACCTGGGATGATTTATGATAATAATCATAAAGCATATCATTAATTATATTTTATATGTTATTTATTCAATTCAAATTTTGATTTATTTGAATCAAAAAATTCTTACATTTATTATGCAAATAAATTATGTATTTGGATCAAATAAAATAATAATTGTTGTTTCAAGAAAAATATTTTATTAATGCAAATAAATATTTATTTGAATCAAAAAAAAGAAGTATTGAATGAAATAATTTTCATAATTGATTTAAATAATTATTTATTAGCTTTGAATATTCCATTTATTTGATTTGAATATTTTGTATTTGATTCAAATAACTATTTATTTAATACGATAAAATAAAATACTTATGTCTAGTAAATATTTATTTGAGTGGAATAATTTTCATAATTAATTCAAATAATTATTTATTAGCTTTGAATATTCCATTTATTTTATTTGAATATTTTGTATTTGATTCAAATACATATTTATTGGATAATAGACAAGTAAATGATGTATTTGGATCAAATATTTTTTATTTGATCCAAATAAATTTTTTTCTTCAGTGTATCTAATATTATCTAATTTATATTTATATTATATTTATATTTTTTTATATATTTATACTTTATATATATATATATATATATATATATATATATATATATATATATATATATATATATATATTTTTTTTTTTTATACATTTATATTTTAATAAATTTATACACTGACAAAAAAATTTACTTGATTCAATTAATCGATTACTTGATTCTTTTTAAATAAATATTTATTTTTATTACATAAATATATTTATTTGCATTAAATAATTATTATTTAAGTCAATGGTATTTGTTTAAAATACAAAAATTATTGGTTCAAATACAATACAATCAAATAAAAATTACTTTGGATCAAGTAAATATTTATTTGAAAAGAGACAAGTAACCGATTACTTGGATCAAGTAATTTTCTTTGTCAGTGTATAAATATAAATATAATAAATATGTAAAATATATAGAAATATAAAAAAAATTATAAATATCAATTTTCTAAATAAAAAAAATAAATATTTTAATTAAAAAAACAGAAAAAATAGTTATTAACAGATTTTTTGAATTAAAAATTTTTTCCCATATTATTAATATTTATAATGAAATTGAAAATCGAGAAAAATTCATAAGACTTTAAAAATGTTTTTTTTTTATTGCCCATTTACAAAAGAAAAATATTTTAAACTTGTGTTTTGAATTTTTAATAAAATGAAAAAAAAATCGGCTTAACGTGTTCCATTAGAGAGAAACTGCATTTATATATAATGATAATGTTGTTAAATATTAAATCAAACGCGTGAGGATCATTAAATATAGAATATAAGCTTGAAGTACTGTTATACTAAAAAGTGCTTCATTAAACGTGAGAGAGTAATTAGCAATATTTGAAGAGATTATTCTCAGATATATAGAAGTTTAATGTTCTCAATCTAAATTTTACCATATATATACGAAATTACGTAAATTTTATCTATCTTGAGCAAACCCTCTAAAAACCGGAAATTAACTAAATTTACTCACTAACACAAAAAATACAATTACTCCAAAAATTGTAACAAATAGAATTTTTTTTATAATTTTTAATTATTGATTATTATAACCATAATGAAAAAAAATTTTCCCCGATATAAGTAAATAGTAAAAGTAGGGTCAGTTGGGGTAAATCAGAACAAAATTGCTATTTTTCACGAAATACATAAGTTCATTCCTTTAAACTGTAATATTTGCAGGTTTATTTTTTTTTAAGTTGTTATTTACATTCCCAGGATTAATTTTATGCAGGAGAAAAAATTTAGATAAGCTTTAAAACTGACTATCACCATTTACCCCAAAATTTAGAAAATTTCATAAAATTTGGGGTAAATGAGGACAGCATAGTTCCTAAGAAAGTTTTAAGAAAAATGTTCCCCTAAGTATATTAATGTATTAAGGGATGAAAATACTTGAAAAAAATTTGTAGTAGATATATAATAGTTGAACCAATTGAAATTGTTTTATTTTTTTTTTCATTTTAGTATTTTGTCTCGCATTTGAAAAAAAACAGACTTAAAAATCATAACAAATTTTTTTCTTATTCCTTATGACTCCCACAACAGAAATTCACTTGAATTTTTGATTTTTGTTAATTTGGTTAATAATGTTGAACTTCATTTTAAAACTGTAAATTAAGCTCCAAAACCTCTTGTCCCCTAATCTTATTTTATTATAAAAGAAAATTAAAACTAATTAGAGAATTATATATAATTATTGTAATTATAATTATTATTATTATACATATATTTATAATTATATATATAATTATATACCTATTATTATAAATATTTATAATTTATATATTTATAATTATTTATTATTATTTATTATTATTTATTGGAGCATTCGATGGGAAATTTTCATTTAAAATATTTTTTACTCGAAACTTTTTTTTAGAATTAAATATAAAAAAATACGTATATTTTCTTATTTTTCATATATAGATTTCGAAAAAAAAAATGTTTCGGGCAAAAAAAATTTTGAATGAAAATTTCCCGTGGAATGACCTATTATTATGTATTATTATTTATTATTACTTATTATTAAAAAACTATTTATGAAAATCGATTGCGACGATATGAAATCAAAAGAAAAATGTCACAAATAAATTCCGAAAAAATTCCGAAGGTGGATTTCGACAATGTTTGTTTTCATTATAAGTCAATAACTGTGCGCAAAGTTATAGATATATATATATAAATATAAAATACGATTTAAAATAGCGATGATTGGCCAAGAGCCACGCGTAAAGAAATATATATATATATAAATTACTATAGGGCCACTGTCCTCTATTCGCATGTTCAATATATGTAGTTTGTGTTCTTATGCTAATTCAAAATGACATGTGACGTATATAACAATTTTGTTCTGAGACTTTGAGTTTGACAAAACCACAAGCGCACGTGAATAATTTTACTTTGTCAGAAACAATATATATATATATTGTGTACTTGTTACGATACTGGTTAGCAATCCCCTTGGCGACTGTCTCATCCAGCCCCACAAATGTTTATACAATGATTGAACCCCCATTTTCCCACGTGCAATATTGTACAATACATATATATGTTAACAACTCTCCAATTACTCAGATTCTTGAAAATTACATAAAATGAAAATTTTTATTTATTATATCAAATATTGTTAATATTTTTAATTTTTTATTTTATAAATTTTTTTAGAACGAAAATACAATTTTTCATTATATGTAAATATTTATTTATTAGTAATACTAATTTATATTATTATTATTATTATTATTATTATTATTATTTTTATTATTATATTTATTATATTATTTTTATAATAATTATTAAATTTTTTATTATTATTTTACTTTATTTTAATTTATTAATATATTTTGAAGCCACTATAATAATTTTCTATTATGCTACACCAAAAAGGAGAAAAAAAAAATAATTGTAAATAAATGACACAAATAAAAAAAAGAACTGCTCTTTATAAATATTTCTCAAATAACATTAGAGAGTCATTATTATTCCCTAGCACGAATTTTTTTTCTGCGTAAATGTTTCCTTATGATCATTGAGAGGGTAAAATAATGAAATTTCATAAAAATAAACAAAAAAAAAAAAACCCTACTATATATATATATATATATATCTCTTTAGTTGGTAAATATTTTATCTTCCGATTTTCGTTTTGCTTTTTATTGTTCTTTTCACACATACACATTGAGAAAAAGAGGAAAAAAGAAAACATACTTCTCTGTCAAGAAAAGAGAACAATTTGTCACAGACTTAAGATGGGACTCGTAACTATATTTACTATATATATTTTTTTTTTTTTGCCTGTTAACCCGTTCAAGATAAACTTTCCATTTAAGACAATAATTTATATCTGTCTCTTTATGTTTCAGTGTAATCAAAAACACATTTTCAACATATGAAAATGTTACTTCTATTTAATTTATAATGTAGAGTTTTTATTTCTTTTAAGGGCACGAATATTATTTGAAATAATTTTATTGAATTTAAAAATTAATAATTATTAATTAATTTAAATTGATAATTTCATAAATTATAAAATTCATCAACAGAATCAATAATTAATTATATTTAATAAATTAATAATTAATTATAATTAATAAAATAAATAATTAATTTTATAATTAATATATAATTAATAAAAGAATAAATTAATAATAAATTAAATGAAATGAAAAAAATAAAAATGTGACTCACCTCTTTGTCGATCATAAGCATTAATGCATTCGCTCGTCATAAATTGACTAATAAGGGCTGTTTTTCCAACACCCCTTGCGCCTAATATTGCAACAGTGTAGGAAATGACCTCCTTGGGAGGTGAGACTGGTTTTTCTTCCGTTTCTTGATCGGCAGGTGCCAGAGAATTTGACCTCGATCTTCGTCTTCTAAATGAGTCACCTCTGTTTATTACACCTGTAAAACAAATTATGTTAACCTATTATTATTATTATTATTATTGTGCATCTCACGATTATAAACAACAAATTAATAACAGTTCTATAACACAAATATAATTTTGTTTTTCTATTTCATTTTTAACGGGAGGAAATTTATTTTCCAAGTAGAAAAAATTGACAATAGTCAGACAAGGTTCATAAGTTTTTTTTATTGTAACATTATTTTTTTTCTATAATATTATTTAATAATGATATAAAATAAATTATATTATATTAATTTTTAAAATATATTATATTACAATATTAATTTTATAAATTTTAAATTTATGTATTATCTCGAAGTAGAAAAGGTTTTTATGTGTCAAAGAAAATTAAATTTCTACTTATTTAGAAGACAAACTTTCGATTTGTATTAGTCTGATTGAGTAGAAAAATTCGTATTTAGTCAGACACAATGGTTTTCAGTAGAAATCATTTTTATGTCATAGAAACATAGCCTCCATAAGTAAAAAAATCCTTATTAGTAAGACACGATGATTTATTATATAGAAAAAGTTGCTATATGTCAAATAAAATTAGTAGTTTAAGTAGAAAAATTCCTAATTAGTGAGACAGAATGCTTTACAGTAGAAAACATTTTTTACGATAAATGAAATTAACTTCTTAAGTAGAAAAAGCCCTAATTAGTCAGACACAAATCATCGTTACAAAAAATTGCAGAGCCAAACGAGTTTAGTATCTATTTAAGTAGAAAAAATCCTAATTAGTCAGACAAACTATTTTTCAATAGAAATCTATTCAGTTTGAGTAGAAAAATTCTTAATTAGTCAGACACAATACTTTTTAGTTGAAAAATAATTCTCACGGCAGAAAAAATATGTCACATAAGTAGTAAAAATTTTAATTAGTCAGAAAATGCTTCGGTTTAAAAAATTACTACGCCATGAGTAATTAGTGCCTATTTTAGTAGAAAAATCCTTAATTAGTCAAACACAATATTTCCGTAAAGAAGTTGATAGGTCAAAAAATGGTAAATTTTAAGTAGAAAAATTGCTCATTAGTCAGACACAATAGTTTCGTTGAAAAAATTGATACACCAAACAAAAATTCGTATCTTAAGTAGAAAAATTACTAATTAGTCAGACACGTGTCTTTACTTGGAAAAATTTTTAATAAAAAAAATTAGCCTCTTGGAAAAAGTCCTAATTAGTCAGACGCAATACTTTTTAATATAAAAAAGAAATTGACAAAATTCGTCTCTTAAGTAGAAAAATTCCTAATTGATCAGACACAATGCTTTTCAGTAGAAAAAAGTACTGATGTCAAATAAAAGTAGCCTCCTAAGTAGAAAAGATCCTAATTAGTCAGACACAGCGTTTTTCAATAGAAACAAAATTTTCGTTTTTCACTAAATTCATCGCTGACATAGAAAAAAAAATTTGTTTCTCTTTTAACTATTTGACTTTCACTTTTCTTTTTCAAAATATTATTCACTTATTCAGTTTCTTCCTCACCTCTAAAGCGTTTTCCCTAACGCAAATGCAATTTAAACTTCAATAATAAATTGAAGACGCAATCAGCAAATATCCCTTCTCAACGCTCTCTAAAGCAAATACTAAGAAAGCTTTCCAGTTTGAAGACAAACTAATTAGAAATTTCTGAATATATGTATGTCAATGTTATATAACATGGAATGACTTGGAATATTTGCTATCTTCCTATGGAAGAGAGAGTGAGAGAGAGAATTATATAAACGTGTATAAAATCCGATTGAAGCGCGCACGTTTCTGAAAATATACATACATATACACACATAGGTATTTGCGAGTTTGTCGACATTCGACAAAGAGAAAGAGAGAGAGAACAACGAATATATATTCCGTTAAGCGGCTGAGAATACCGATATCCGTCCGTCAGTCTGTCCATTCATACCATTGTTTGAACATCCATAATACCTATTCTCCAACTACACCCAGAATATGTACACCTGATGAATAGAAACAAATCGATGCTAGTAAAGACGTTACACACACACACAATTCAAGAAAAAAAATTTATATAAATTGTATACACAAAATTTTTTTTTATAGAATTGAATTTTTTTAACCCCTATTTCCACTATAACAAATTTAAAAAATAATTTTAATTCTTACAGACAAAAATTTTTTTCCATGTAATAACTATTGTTAGGATTTCCTGGCCGAGGCCCGAAAGCCATATAGTTTCGCTTTGGCGTCTGTCCGTATGTCCGTCGTACACTCGTATGGTTGACATCACAAACATTATCCTCAGCAACAGTTTTCATAGCACACGTATCCATAGTAACCGTTTCAATAGTTACTAACTGTTGCCACAGAAACCAACTATTGCCATAGTAACTGTTGCTATAGAAACCAACTGTTGCCATAAAAACTAACTTAGGACATAGTAACTGTTACCATAGAAACCAAATGTTTCCATAGAAACCAACTGTTGCCATAGAAACTAATTGTTGCCATAATAACTAACTGTTGCCATAATAACTGTTACCATTGAAACCAAATGTTTCCATAGAAACCAACTGTCGCCATAGAAACCAACTGTTGCCATAGTAACTAACTGTTGCCATAGTAACTGTTACCATAGAAACCAAATATTTCCATAGAAACCAACTGTTGCCACAGAAACCAACTATTGCCATAGTAACTGTTACCATAGAAACCAAATGTTTTCATAGAAACAAACTGTTGACATAAAAACCAACTGTCGCCATAGAAACCAACTGTTGCCATAGTAACTAACTGTTGCCATAGTAACTGTTACCATAGAAACCAAATATTTCCATAGAAACCAACTGTTGCCATAGTAACTGTTGCCACAGAAACCAACTATTGCCATAGTAACTGTTACCATAGAAACCAAATGTTTCCATAGAAACAAACTGTTGACATAGAAACCAACTGTCGCCATAGAAACCAACTGTTGCCATAGTAACTAACTGTTACCATAGAAACCAAATATTTCCATAGAAACCAACTGTTGCCATAGTAACTATTGCCACAGAAACCAACTATTGCCATAGTAACTGTTGCTATAGAAACCAACTGTTGCCATAGTAACTAACTGTTGCCATAGTAACTGTTACCATTGAAACCAAATGTTTCCATAGAAACCAACTGTTGCCATAGTAACTAACTGTTGCCATAGTAACTAACTGTTGCCATAGTAACCAACTATTGCCATAGTAACTGTTACCATAGAAACCAAATGTTTCCATAGAAACAAACTGTTGACATAGAAACCAACTGTCGCCATAGAAACCAACTGTTGCGATAGTAACTAACTGTTGCCATAGTAACTGTTACCATAGAAACCAAATATTTTCATAGAAACCAACTGTTGCCATAGTAACTATTGCCACAGAAACCAACTATTGCCATAGTAACTGTTGCTATAGAAACCAACTGTTGCCATAGAAACCATCGGTTGCCATAGAAACTAACTGAGGACATAGTAACTGTTACCATAGAAACCAAATGTTTCCATAGAAACCAACTGTTGCCATAGAAACCAACTGTTGCCATAGGAACCAACTGTTGCCATAGTAACTAACTGTTGCCATACACGGAAAAAAAGAAAAAGTAACTTTCACTACTTTAAAAGTAAAATTGGACCTGTCCGAAGTTTCTGCGCATCTCTGGCAACTTTTACTCCAAAAATAGTAAAATTTACTTCAGAAATAGTAAAAATTACTACGGAAACAGTAAAATTTACTACAGAAATAGTCAATTTTACTATTTTTCGAGTAAAAGTTGCCAGAGATGCGCAGAAACTTCGGACAGGTCCAATTTTACTTTTAAAGTAGTAAAAGTTACTTTATTCGTTTTTCCATTTTTCTCCGTGTAGAAACTAACTGTTATCATGGTAAATTTTGCCATGGAAAACAAATGTTGACAAAGTAACTGTTGCCATAGAAACGAAATGTTGCTATAGTAACCAACTGTTGCTACATAAACGGTTTTCATAGTAACTCCTACCATAGTAACTGTGACCATAGTAACTAACTAATGCCATAGTAACGGTTGTCATAGGAACTAACTGTTATCATAGTAACTTTTGCCATGGAAAACAAATGTTGACAAAGTAACTGTTGCCATAGAAACCAAATGTTTCCCTAGAAATTAACTGTTGCCATAGCAAAATAAAAATAATATATTCGAAATAAGAATAATATTCTCGAAATAAAAATAATATTTTCAAAATAAAAATATTTATTAAATTAAAAAATCGTATCTTATTTTAAAAATTATTTAAAGATGCTGAAATTTATAAAAAAAAAAATTTATTTCTATAAAAAAAAACCTTTGAGGGCTATAATCCCGTAATAATAAAGAGTAGAAAAATATTTTTTGAAAGAAAGGTTTCTAAAAAAAAAAAGAAAAAAAAATTTGTTGAGGTCGAAAATATGTGTGATACATCGAAAGAGAATAGCATGCGGTTTCTTGATAAGAGTCACCTATTTTATGAGATTGTCCGTTAAGGCGGGTGTGAAAAGACTATATGGTCGAGACCCCACGTCAAGTCTAAAGGAGAGGAGAGTGAGAGAGAGAGAGAGAAAAAAAACGAGATTGACAAGTATATAGAACATAGCTAATGAAACGTGGGTGATTTAATTTCACAGAAATGGACAGGCAATTTCTGACAGTTGAACGAACGACTGTTTAATGTGAAAACTAATTCACCTACATATTCTGCTTCGTTGAAAAAAAATGAAAAATTAAAAAACAAAAAAAAAATTAATAAAAAGTTATATTCTGTTTGATTAGTTCCTTGTTTTTAACATACGCAAAACTTTTTCAATTTTTATATATATCGGATTTAATTATATCCACGCAGCCGTTTGATATTTTAATATCAAAAAAAAAAAAAAAATATTTAATATTACAAAAAAAAATATAAATTAAAAATAATAATTTTTTTAACCTTTAGAGGGCCGGTATTTTAATTGAAAATCACCATGTTATAAACTAAAAATTT